CAAAACCTGGTTCATTTTTGTCACCTATTGGCTTACAACTGGCTGTGTTCATCTGAGTAACAACAACAAAAATAGGCCTTTATTTTTTACCATGTGTTATGGGTTACCAAGCACTTCCTCTTATATTGTCTGAGCTGGTTCTTAAATCCTATTTTAGCAAAAGCAAGGATTATCACACCCATTCAAAGCAGGAGAAAACTGAGAACTTAGGTCTAGGGGCCTCAGACATCTGAGCCAGGACTCTTTTCTGATTCCATGTTGCTTTTCCCACAGCCTGAAATTCTCACCTTCTCCTCCTCCTCCACCTTCTCCTCCTCCACCTCCTCCACCTCCTCCTCTTCCTCCTCCTCCTCCTCCTCCTTATTCTTTTAAGATTTATTTGTTTGAGAGAGAGAGAGGGAGAGCACACAAGCAGGAAGGGCAGAGAGAGGGGAAGAGAATCTCAAACAGACTCCACAATGAGCACAGATCCAACGCAGGGCTCCATCTCATGACCCTGAGATCAGGACCTGAGCCAAAGCCAAGAGAGATAGATGCTTAACTGATCAAGCCACCCAGGTGCCCTTTTCACCCTCTTCTGATTGGGAAATAAAATGGCTTTTCATTTGCAAAATATCCAGGAATCTTCATCAGAAACTCATTTCCTGTACTCTCAGGAATTTGTGGGATTTGAAGACATTTTAGAGAATGTCTGGATTAGTCTTTTGGGATTACCAGTGGTTCTTCTCATTTCCTTAACTTGATATCCAAACAAGCCATCAGCATGTCCTTCAAACCTAATCAGGCCTCATTTCCTTCATGCTATCACTCCAGCCCTGAATACCATCTTCTCTTGCCTGAATTAGTCTGGGGAATATGGTTCCCAATAACAAGCGCAAACTACCTCCTCTTCCAAGGATACAGGCCCCGGGGGGCTTGTTGTTGGAGGCCTGGGTTGGGGAGGTATGAAATGCCTTTATGTTCAGCCAACCAGTTGGGCCACTACTGTTTAAAGGAGAATGTGTCCCTTTCATTCTGACTCCTCTTTTCTCTTAAATGATTCTTAGGCTATGTCTCTGCTTCTATGCCTGCCCTTCTACAATTAATTCTTTGCTTAGCAGAAGGCATTACTTTCAAAATATCAAATCAGGTCAGTCCCTTACTCAAAACTACCCTTCCCAGGAAATATTTCCTTAACAGAGCCTTCAAGGTTCTATGTGATCTGACTCCTGCCTGGCTGGCTGGCCTCATCTGCTAGCCCTCTCTGATTCACCTACTCTCTTCTAGTGCCCTTGCCTAGGTATTTAGCAACTAGATATCTAGTTGCTGATATTTGAATGTACCAAGCATGCTTCCACCTCAGGGCCTTTGCACTGACTGTCCTTCCACCTGACAAGGAAATATCTTGTTGCAGATATTTGCATGGCTAGCTCCTTTACCTCATTCAGGTATCTGCTAAAATATTTCCTCCTCAGAAAGATATTCTCTAACCTTCACACTCTATATCTTGCATTAATGTTTATCAATTTGGACACATATTAATTAATTATTTGATGTGGTTATGTTTTGTCTCCCTTAGTAGGACTTTGTCTATCTAGTTCACTGCTAAATCATTGACCTCTCAGCAGTGCAGATTCTCAGTACTTATGTGTGCAAAGAATTTGAGTGAATCAATTTTACAGAAGGAGAAACTGAGGTCCAGAGTGGGGAGGGCAGGTCAGTAGCAGAAGCAAGACTCAAGAGCAAATGTTCTTTCTAACAGGCCTATGAAATGTTCACTGCTCTGGCCTCCTCCTTCATATTATATGAAAGCCAGAATCTTTTTCCATAAAAAGTCCTCATTTTGCGAAAGAAACAGCATTTTTATATCACAACGCAGTCTAGTTTGTCCCTTTATTTCTTCAAACTTAAACTCTTTGATTTTTAAGGCTGGAAGGAACCACAAAAATTACCTATCAAGGCTTTTATCTTGCAGATGAGGAAAGCAATGACCAGCTGGATCACGGCAGATCCAGAACTGGAACGTAGGTCTCTCAACTCCCAGTACAGACACTTTGTACTTCCCTGCATTGTTGAAGGTTGAGCATCTATATCTGCTCACAATTTACTCTTTCTCATTAAAATGGGTTTCTATGCCTCATATTGGCAAGTAGTCACCCCCAAATGTACATTTCATATGGTGGCGGGATATTGTTTCCAGGTATCTATCACATGGAAGAGACCTGGATGCTTTCTGTAGACACGTGGCTCCTGGCTGCAGGATGTTCAGCCACAGGTATCTCTTGCATCTAAGAACAAGGAGGGGGTGTGAAAGGTTCTAACATGGAGTAACACCTTCCCTCTGATCTTGCCACTTCCTGGTTGCAAGCCTCTGTGAGAAACCTTATGCTCTCAGGCCCTTAATTTTCTTTTTTGGGAGATTGGGCTAGCATGCCCTAATGTGCAGATGAGGAAGTACTTTGTGAACCACAGAGGGCTGCATAAGGATGGGGAGTGGTGACTCCTGGGGACCAAGGGCTGAAATAGCTCCTCAGTACAACCGCAAACCTCTCCCCCTTCCAGGCTTTGGAACTTGGAAGAGAAGCCCTGGAGGTTGGCTGCAGAGGGCTTAGGTTGGGGAGGTATGAGGTTCCTCTGGGTATATCAATGCTTATGCAAAGCTTGATCATGGAGGCTTTTAAGGAAGAATTCCTGTCCCCTTTTGTCCTGGCTTGTCTTCTCCAGTGGTTCTTAGATGCTTAACAATGCAAGGATTATAAAACAAAATCAAACAAAAACAAATCCCAGAAATCAACTTATCCACAGCCCTAGCACTTCAGCAGGGCTATGAAGAAAGTAACAAGACCCAACTACTCCCATATAAGTATTTACATAGCTAGAGACCTTGAGTACTTTTCCTGAGAATCAGGAGAGGGAGGGAGAGGCTAGAGGCAGAGGCTGGGGTAGATAGATATCAGCCAGGCTGGATGGGAAGGGAAGTGCAGAGAAGGAGAGAAAGAGCCAGATCTAACCAGACTGAAGTCAGAAAATGATGGCAGAGAGGGGGAGCTGCAAAGAGGAGAGAGGAGAGGGGGTATAAAGAGAAAACAAAAAGATAGAATAGGAAAGATCCTGAGAGAAAGTCAGAGAAAGGTTAGGGAAAAGGAGAAAGAGGAATGAGAAGCAAGGACAGAGGCAAAGGATAAGGACATGGGAAGAGAGGAGCAGGAGTCTGGGGAGGGGAAGTCATAGAGATCCTAGAGCACAGAGCAAGGGAGTGGGGCTGCAATTTGTTCCTGGGCTAGCTGCTGTTATAGGAAAACTCTTCTTCTCTACTCAGTGGGGCTGCCAAGGACCAAGTCTTGGCCAGAGGAGATATGAGCTTATTTGGGGGGGTGGGGGGGCATGGTGCCTGTGGACAATTGAGCTGATATAACTAGATTCTGAGTCTCCTGTCAGGGGCCAAGGAGTTTCCAGGATATATAGAGAAAAATAACATATAGTTCCTAAGTTGGGTTCCTCTGTCCCAGATTCATTGCCCTCCTAGACTATTCCAACACATGTGAGTGACTTTTTAATGCCCCAGTTGTGGCTGGCCTTGTCTGGACCTGCCAAACCCTGGAAACTTTAACACTCCTTGTGGACTTTCTCACAGCCTTGGCTTACAGACACAAAAGGACATGGTGACAATTCTCCAAGACATTCAGGACACTTACCAAGCCCTCCTGCCTTTGAACATGGTAGTTTTGGTCTCAGTATTGAGAATATATACAAGATGCATGGCTGGGGACAGGATTGGTCAAGTTCTTTGATTCACTTGATTCCTGGAGACAGAGAATATCTTTTTAGCTTTTGATGAGCTTGAAGGACATACACTGTTAGCCCTAGAAGAGCCTGCAGAGATCATCTAGTTCATGCCGGGACATTAGCTAGATCTTCCTTGATAACAAATTATTTTGGGTGGGGGGGAAGCTGTTGAAATTCTGGTCTGGAGACCAAACATCCAACCAGACTACAACCACAATTCTAGGACAGTATTTCTTAACTTTCCTTTTAATGTGTGTGGGGAGCAGGGGAGTTCTGGATCTAACCAAGAATCTATTGATTCTATTGCCACATAGACACAGAATAGTGGTCACATGTGTTCAGGGGGTTCTTGGATTTTGCATGTCCAGAATGGGGGTCCTTGACTTAAAACTGATCCTCCTGGCCAGGGATCTGATAGATACCTTAGAGCTGAGTGAAAAGACCCCTGGTATTGAAATGTGGAGATCTTGCCCTTGCTGAAGCTGTGCAATATTTGGGCCAGAGCATTGCACTACCCATCCCTAGACTCAGCAACTCAAACTCTGAGATTTAGTAGATGGTTTCTGAGATCGCTTTCCAGCTCCAGGTTTTGAGGCACCAAAATGAAGTCAGGCTCACTTTTTAAATATTTAATATATTTTGTCACAGAAGAAAGGCAGGCAGACCAGAAATCTTGCAGCTGCTGAGAAAGTGGGATGGAGGGTGAGGCTAAGGTACTTTCTCCACCAGTGTAGAGATAACTGAAGTTCTTTTAGAATCCATCACGTCTTAATTTCCAAGACTTTTTCACGGAGATAATGGAGAAAGAAATGATTCACTCCTAACATCCACATTCCACCTCAAATCTGTTTTTAGAAGAATGCTTCTGAATCCCCCCTTCTCCCACACAAATACTTCTGCATTTGTCTGACCCTCTTAAAATGTTTGAGTATGATGAAAGACAAAGTGTCTGGGTGCATTCTGTGTCTGCAGGGGTGTGATGGAGCATTTGCTTCTTCCAAGGCTGGGGGTGAGTGTATGTGTAATTTAGTGTGTGCGTGTGCATATGTATGAGTGAAATCATGGAATGTGCGTGTGCACAGCAGTGACAATATAAAAGATTGTATAGATACTGTGGTATGTGTAAAAACATGTGGGCCTATGTGGGTGAAGGATTATGATCTTTTTTTTTAAGTAAACCACTTTGGATTGTGTAGCCTCCTCTTACTTCTGTGATTGATTTCACGAGGGTAATGGTGCGTAAAAGCGCTGGTGAGATCTGGGGGCGCCTCCTCGTCTGACGTCAGAGAGAGAGTTTAAAAAGCGGGGAGCCGGTGGAGAGCACACAAGCCGCTTTAGGAGTCGCGAGTTTCAGAGCTATCGCTGCTGCCTGCGGATCCTCTCCTAGAGTTTGACCAACCGTCCTCTCGCTCGGCTTCCCCGGCGCGGCGCGGAGATGCTGTCCTGCCGCCTCCAGTGCGCGCTAGCCGCGCTGTCCATTGTCCTGGCTCTGGGCGGTGTCACCGGCGCGCCCTCGGATCCCCGACTCCGTCAGTTTCTGCAGAAGTCCCTGGCTGCTGCCGCGGGGAAGCAGGTAAGGAGATTTCCTCGACGTCTTCCCCTCCCTTTCCCGAATCCCTCAATCTTCTCTTAGCCTTTACCCTAGCCCTTTGGGTGGATTTAGGAGGTGCTTCTGAAGAGTTTCGGAGCTCTTCTGGGTCCCTCAGCTGCCAAAGCTCTCAGGAAAACTTTTGAAGTCCAGAATCTCCTCTTACCTCTCTTTTTTCCTGGTCAGCGCAGTCGGTCACAGTTCAGGTAAGTTCTCTGGCATTGAAGAAAATCCCAAGACCTGGGTAGCTGAGCAGGAAGGGATGAGGCAGCCATCCCGCAGGGCTGAACGCGGAGGTGCTGGCCCAGGTGCTGAAAAAGAGCGGCCCTCTGAAGGCTCCCTTCCTGAAGAGTTCCTCCCTCCACGTTGCTAAAGGGCACCCTGCAGACAAAACACAGTATGTTTAAGATTGTGAAAGGTCTCGTTCTCCACAGTTAACTTAGCAAAAACGGTAAGAACAATTCCAGTGTGTAGCTCATGAGCTGGGAATTGAAATTGAATTAAACTGTTGGCACTGTTTTATCTTTGCAAAACTATATTAACAATCTTCTATTTCTGTGTGTATGCGTGTGTTACATCTATAGAGGCAGGAAACATGCAGAAACATTTGAGTATTTTTAGTGTATCTGTGTAACTCAGTGATATATGAACTACCCTTATTTTTATATCCTCAACTGATTTTAAGTGTGCAAAAGTGCACAGCTGTGAAAATTGGGTTTGGGGTGTAGCTGAATCTGCTTTCCAAGTTAGGCTTTGCCATTTCTTTTTCTCCATCACCCACCATCATCCTCATCTCTTCTCTCTATATCCTTTCTACCCTCTACAGGAACTGGCCAAGTACTTCTTGGCGGAGCTGCTGTCTGAACCCAACCAGACAGAGAACGATGCCCTGGAACCTGAAGATTTGTCCCAGGCTGCTGAGCAGGATGAAATGAGGCTGGAACTGCAGAGATCTGCTAACTCAAACCCTGCCATGGCACCCCGAGAACGCAAAGCTGGCTGCAAGAATTTCTTCTGGAAAACTTTCACATCCTGTTAACTTTATTAATTATTGTTGTCCATACAAGACCTCTGATTCCTTTCCTCCAAACCTCATCCCTCTTCCCTAATCTCCCAGTCCTCAGCAAGACCCTTGCATTAGAAATTGAAGACTGTAAATACAAAATAAAATTATGGTGAAATTATGAAAAACAAAAATTTGATTTCTCATTGTGTATCTTTTTGTTCAATAATATGGGATTAGTTTCAGTTGTGATTTCAGTCAAGTTACTTGAGTTAGGCACTCTAAATCTCACAGACATAATATTTAAAATTCACTGTGGTAATAAAAGTTCTGCCCTGAATGGAAAGCCTTATAGTTTGGGTCATTTCAAACAAATAATTTCAAATAACTCTATGAATTCTAACTTTAACCCAGTGGCAATAATTGGATAAGGCTGCAGCAAATATCAATTACATATTAAATACAATTAAAATTAGATATTGAAATGAGTATTTATGGGTAAATGGGTAAGCAGGCTGAGATATCTAACTATCCACCAGGCTAATATGTAAAATACATGAAAAATGAAATGGAGGAATCATTTAGAAGCTGAGGGAAAGAAGCTGGCTTAAATAGCTAAAATGAAGTATTGAGCCTTTAAAAATTGTTTCTTATTTGTGGACATTTATCTACAGAAACACCACTGCCTTTATATCTTCTTTGACAATCCTCTCCATAACTGAACACGGCTAAAAGGCTGCCCATATTTTAAAAGGAAGCTCTTAAATTTTTTTCTCAGGGGAAAATATTACTTTTGTTCTAAATTTTCAGATGAGAGTAATATGGGTTGCAAAAAAACATGTGTATTATTTACCCAGTGAATGCTATCTATTGAAGGTATTGGAGCACAACATTATAATTGCAGGGTAATTGAAGAAGAGATCTCAAGCCTTCTCTTGATTTGATTAGAAAAAGCATCAAATAAAAATGCAAACTATAATAAAAACAATACATGCTAGCTAATATTATTAATATTATAATGACATACTGAATGGTACCACTCAAGACAGAGATTAAAATGTTGCTAATTTAACTCACAGAGACTCTAAATAGATGTCCCTTCGGGGAAGTCTGTTTTAACTATCAACTGTATTTCTGAGTAGCTGCAGTAGAACAATAAACCCAATATAAATACATAAACTCAATATAGATCCCCATAGTGTGAGCTTACTGATGGCAGGGTATAAACATCTAAGAGGGACTTTATAGAAAATATTTCTGTTGGACAATATACATTTTAATATGAATGTGGCTTAGCAGAATTAATTCCTGAACAGCTGATCAAACAAGAGAGAATCCGAGCCACTTTACTAATCTCTGTGAAAATAGAAGACCCTTTGAGGTTCTGGTGCATCTTTTATTTACAAGACATTTAGGAGGGAATTAATGTGTGTCCAGTTAGGAGATCTGTCTGTGTTAAACGCCTTATGTACATCTGGTTACCAATCAACTCAGTGAAGTAATAGAATCACATTATTATGATTAAAGCACAGAAGAGAATACAACTTAATTGTTTTCTTTGCAGTGCATAGATTGTATGAGTGCCTGGGGATCTTAACTTTCTAGTATCATCTTCAGTTGTCAATTCCCAACAGCAGTATGAAAATAATTGGCAAGAATTATGCAGTCGTGAGCCTACATATATATTTATTCTTTATTTAAAGCCTAAACTGAATGGAGCATTTGATCAAGGTTAATTATCTTTCAGCCTCAGTTTTACCACCTTCACAAGCAGAGGGTTGTACTGGGAAGGAGAGTCATATCCCTTCCAGATGTGACTGACATTCTGTACTTCAACACTGACAAATGTGCCAGAGAGGTACTGAGTTCTTACATTTTAATTAATAAATGGAATATAGCTCTTTTTTAATATATGGAAGTTTTTATTTTTTACTTCCTATCTAGTTCATTTGCCTTCTTCCTATGTTTGATTCACTGAAAGAGTCTAACATTCCAGCCTGTTTATCAGCTAGCCACAATGAACCATTTAGGTTATATTTTCCTTCCTCCCTGCCACAGCCACAGACTTCAGCAATTCTCAACAACCTGCTACTTCTAATAATGGGAGGGCTTGACTAAGGTACTCCTCTTTTCTGGACCTTAGTTTCCCCATCTCTAGTTCATTTGCCTTCTTCCTATGTTTGATTCACTGAAAGAGTCTAACATTCCAGCCTGTTTATCAGCTAGCCACAATGAACCATTTAGGTTATATTTTCCTTCCTCCCTGCCACAGCCACAGACTTCAGCAATTCTCAACAACCTGCTACTTCTAATAATGGGAGGGCTTGACTAAGGTACTCCTCTTTTCTGGACCTTAGTTTCCCCATCT